GGGAAGGAAACTATCTAGGAACTGTTTTAACCGAGGGCGGAAAATGCGTCACCGAAATACGAAGGTGCATTGGGATAGCGAAAGTTGCTTTTCGAAAGCTAAGCAAAGTATTAAGAAATAGAAAATTTTCGTTAGAAAGACTGGACAGAGTACTAAACTATTATGTAATATCGGTCTATAAATGCAAGACAATCAAAGATGAAGAAGAGATTTGTGTCAACAGAAATGTGGTTCTACAGAAGAATACCATGGACCAAACATGTAAGCAACGATTTTTTTTTTAAAGAAAATGGAAACAAAATGGACACATATACTTAACATCAGGAAAAGATCATTTCTAGGACACCTAATGAGGAAAGAGGGTTTAGAAAGTTTGACACCCAACAGAACACATTGAAGACAAGAGGGACAAAGGAAAGCAGCGCATATCTACCTAACGAGCTTGTGTAAATGGTTGGCAGAACAGGGATTAGGAGAGATAATAAAATGACAAACTTTACTAAGGACTACAAAGGATAGGAAATTGTGGAGAACCATAATCACACACGTCCTGAAGGGACACGGCACATAAAAGAAGAAGAAACAGATGTCACAAGTAAACTTGAAAACAGTTTTTTTCTGTGTTGTATCCCTTTAGGACGTGGGAGATCACGGCTCTCCACAACTTCTTATCTCTTTACTATCCCTCTCACACCATGTTTTACTATTCATTTCCCAGGCTTGTTAAATAAATTAGTTGCTATTTTCCCACTCCCTTTGCCTTCAAGGTTTGTGAGTGTCAAATTCTTCAAGTCCTCTTTCCTCATTATGTGTCCCAGAAATTTCAACTGTCTCTTTTTGATTTTGTTTTTGTCTCCTTTTTGCTCCATTTTTTCTTAAAACTTCACATTGTTCACATGTCCTGCCCATGGTATTCTCAGCACTTCTCTGTAGAACTGTATTTTTTTTATTATTCCAGTTTTCTCTTCATCTGTGAAGAAATTGTCCAGCATTCACTGTTATACGAGGATTGGTATTGCATTCAGCACACTTTTCGTTGTTCCTGACAAAAACTCTTGGTTTTTAATACTTTGTTTTGCATTTAGAAGGCATCTTCCGCTAAACCAATATCCCATTACATTTTGGTGTCGTTCGCATCTTGGATTATACCTTATCCTAATGACCAGAAAAAAAGGACAATAAACTTTCCTCCTCTCTCGGTCCGTAATATAGTAACAAAAACAATACGATTTCTCTGCCGCCAAGCAAGATTTCTTCTAATGGCCGCTCGCCTTCTTAATTTCAAACAGCCACGTGGCTTATCTCTCTCCTCCTCTCTCTCTCTTTCACGCACGCGCGCGCGCACACACACAAACAAACCAACACACACATACACACACAAAACAAGCACACACATACACACAAAAAAAAAAACGTCCACACACAAAGTTTTCTTACAACAAAGCTTATAAATGCTTTTCTCCTATTTTTCAGCTTTCTTCTGGAATCATGTTATTCTTTATTCAAACATATATACGTAAAAATTCTCCACGTTGAAATTCATTTCTTTTGTAAATGTTGAATTCATTTATTCTGAAAGTCTTCATCCCAATCGCCAATAAATTTTAAATCCTTCTGCTGCAAATTGGTGACCAACAATAACCTCATTCATTACAATCCTGCAGTTTCGATCCCCAACAGTAGATAGGTTTACCTATCATCCGGTTCACACTCCTTCCTTGTCTTTTGACCAGGAGTAAAGGTTTGTCCCTTGTTTCTTGTTTAGAATCGGTTCCTTCTAATCTTTTTATTTCATTCTCTTTCCCACCCTTGCATTTAGTGGCATTATCGCTTTGCTTAGGTTGAAGTGATTAAAAAAAACAAAAACAAAAAACAACTAGCAAACGTGTAAAAAGATGCTGCTAAGATTTTCATAACATTATAGAAAATGGCAAAGGGAACTTTTGTACTGCGACAAAGTCACAGAAGTTACTTTTGTCATTTTTTTCTCTTTATACCTATATAATTTTTGAAAACTATTTTCGAGTATATATGCAAAAATATTTTCAAGTTTATCCATGATATTATGATTTTTTTTTACCGCATGCGTGCGTGGGCGTTCGTAGTACCTGTATTCGTTTTATGCTAAAAAAAACTCATACTGCTATACCTTTCATAGAAACATGTATAATTCATTTGGGACAACAGGTATACGCAGTCTCTCTCTCTCTCTCTCTCTCTCTCTCTCTCTCTCTCTTCTTCTTCTTCTTCTTCTTCTCTCTTTTCCCCTCTCTCTATGTTTTATATATATATATATTATAATTGCTCACTATTATAAAGACGAAAGGAAAAGTTATGCTTCGTCCTTTGATGATCTTTATGAAGGCAAATATAAAGATTTTATTCTGCAACAAGTATTTATAAACAGAAGTAAAAACGTTGTTAGTTTTACAGAATTTTTAAATTTAAGAACGCTCATAAATATACTTTATTTAAAATATATAAATACGTAAATTAATTTCTCAAACTAAAATAAATTAAATAATAATTACATTATAATTTTTTGATCTAACAACAATTGCAACATTTACTCACATTTTGTTTATAATAGACATTAAATTACATCACTTAGCATCCTCCATAGTTTATCTTGACTTTCAGTTTAGCCTGAAGTATATGAACGTTTTTTAAATTAAAAATACTGGAAAGCTAACGATATTTGTACTTCTGTTTATAAATATTTCTTGCAAAATAAAATTCTTAAATTTGCCTTGATAAAGTCTATCAGAGGACGAGACACGTGGGCTAAGATAAGTTTTCCTTTTGTTGTCTTTATTCACATATATACCATTCGTTGGTCCAGATAGACAAAAATGAAGTTGTAAAGGTTATTATTTTAATACAGGGGCTCACAAGCGGTTGGGTCGGAATTTCAAGCTTTCATGGTTGAGGAGGGAAATATCTTTTACTTTTCTTGTTTTTTATTTACAGAATTTGGAGCCCGTTATGAGCGTCAAAAAGAGCGGTTTGAATACTTTAATATTCAATATGGATTCACATCCGTCATCATCAATAAAGAAGATAGGCTCAGTGTGTATTTTGTAGCAACGCTTTGTCAAATGATTCTTTGAAACCAACAACCAAGTTGAAAAAACATTTGCAGATTGTTCATTCTCAACACCCGTGTAAATGTCTATGTACTAATATGGAAAATAATGAAGATTTTCAATAATATATGCATATTATTTGGAATGCACCTTTTGAGTCGTGCAATCGTGGAAAGTGTGGGGAATGGTATTCTGACTGATGGTAAAAAGGGTGTATTGAGCAAAAAAGTTTGAGAACCATTTTTTAATACAGAGGTCGTCAAATTTTTTCGCCCAGAGACCCCTGTAGAATAAGTGGAAGTGAACAGTATCAAATCAAAGGAGCAAATGACAAAAATAAACACACCACGGAAAGGCTCTGCAGCCTTCCGTCTTCAAACACACTTCAAATTAATAAAAATAAATAGCCAATAAAATCAGATCTCGCCAACAAAATTAAAAAAAAAAATCACTGCCTTCTGAAGCCTACACGAGGCCATAAAACCAAACATTCATTCAACTCGGCAGAAGGACTGACAGCAGTAAAGAGACATGAGCCAACCTCGTCGTTCTGTCTTTCTCACCAAAGCAACAGCAGACTCCCTTTGATCTTGTCTCCCAACTGCTCTTTCTCACTTCGTCACTGAAAGACTATTTATGTTCATTTCCTTACAGTCAAAAAGAACTTTCTTTCATTTCAGTTAAAATTTGTATATCTTACGTTTAAATAAATATCATTTTATTTGAACCATCAACAATCTTTTCTCTCAATATTTTTTATTCAACAAACAGTGACGCTTTTGTTAATCTTCTTTCCCCAGCGATCCTTAAAACTCGCACTGATGTTAGCAATTAAAATGTTAACTAAAATGTATGAAAAGTTGAGAAATTTTGATCAGGTTCAAAACCCCCACCCCCAAAAACGCAATTACAAAAGAGCAAAGCACTTCTCAACGTAGCATTAAATAAATCTCATCCGAATAAGTTAAAAGCTATTTGAGGCGATGTCAAGAAGGCTTTTGATTCTGTTGATCGTCGAGCTCAGCGCCTTCCTTTCGTCTGCAGAGAAAAATACAAAATACATGTACACTAAAATGTAGCTCAGTGTCATTCGCACATCTACCCCCGTTTGACCCCCTTCACTATCATCAACCCCTGGAATTCCTCACTAACCCCCAGGGGGTCGCTTGGATCCATTTTGATGATCCCTGGTCTAATAGATCGAAGAATGACTTCCGCCATGTTATCGAGTATGACCACCGCAAGACATCATTTCAAGATTCAGTTTATGATGGTATTTACCCTCGCGATCCCACCTCTCCTACCCTTGAGTTAGGTTGCAACACAAGGTCAGTTAATAAACGTGGGGAAACTCGAGGGCGAACACTCGGTCCATTGGTCGAAATTTATCCAGCCCCAGTTTACGCGGGATCGAGCACAAAGCTTCTTAGCTAGTCATAGCCAGTCAGATTGAGTTTACAATATCAAGCAATGCCTTTGCATGAAACTTTTAAAATGGAGGAAGTCGTTGCACATTGTCGATCCCACTCACTGAGCAAGAAGACCTTGTACCGAAAAAGAAGAACCAGTCAACATCATTTTCTTATCCTAGTTGGATGCCTTAACAAAGGCTTAAAAGTGCAACACTCCCATAAATACTAATTGACTGATTTGTTTTTTCTGACTTATCAACCTTTTACAGGTTATTTAAAGCCAGAAAATATTTTTAGATTGTAAGAGATTTTTGCAGGTAATAATGATTTACTGATATAAATCCTACTAATTATAACCCGGAGTTGGGGGTGGAGATGGATTCATGGCTTTTCCAGGGGTATTTGCACATAAGTGAATATAACGCACCCGACTGGAATTGGAACTTGGTTCTCCAATTCTCAATTCCGAGCCGTTATCCATTACACCACCCGCACATCCAAGCTTACAGCAGCTGGTATTCCCAAGCGGCCACCCATCAAGGTACTGACCTGGCTTGACATTGCTTAACTTTGGTGACCTTGCGAGAACCGGTATGATATGGTCGGAAGTTCAACCATAGATAGATAGATAGATAGATAGATAGATAGATAGATAGATAGATAGATAGATAGATAGATAGATAGATAGATACTGGCCAGAAGACTGAGATAAAAATGCATCCAATTTTAGGTGGTGATCTCCACTTTAACTCCATTTTAAATTTAATTTAAATTAAAGTTTCATATATAGCCATGGCTCCATAAATGCACACACTTACTTTTTAAATCCATGTTGTTGTTTTTTTTGGGGGGGAGGCACATATCACACAGAAATAGGATCACTTAGACGTGGTATAATGGTTAACAAGCTTGTTTTACTAAATCAGTTACGACTGAATAATTAGTTTGGTCCTCACTGTGTGTTACAGTTACACACTTTCGCCCTTGTACCACATCTAATCTACGCTTAGGAAAAATGAGGTTAATTACGGACGTGTGTATTATTATCTGTGTACGTAACAAAACAAACAAACAACCAAATAATAAATAAATTACATTTAAAATGCATCCAAACGCTGCACATATAATTGCTGAGAAATACTCTCACAACACACACGTCTTGCATTTTTAAAAAAGCATAAATTCGAATCTAATTAATAAAATAATGATACCCATTTTAATTACGGACTAAACAAAAGACTCATTTGCTCAAACGCCTCGCCATGGATCAGCGGTTTGCAAATTAGCCTAAGCTGTGCAGACAGTAGTGAGTTCGATCCTTACTGGTTGCTGCATTCTCTCGAGCTCGATGGCGCAAAACTTGCTAAATAAATTGAAAATAGGTCGTCTTGCCACAGAGTGAGTTAATCTTGAAAAGAAGGACTACTGAGTTTGATCCTCACTGGGTACCAAATATGCTTCTTGGCACCGAGTGATTTTTTTTTACCAACTTTGACTTACAGACGACTGATTTAGTGACTGCGTTCCATGTCGAGTGCTCTACACTTAGCTTTGTGCCATACTCAATAATGAATAAATTAACTCCTTTTTTTATTCAGCATCCACACAAACACACACATCCACATGCGCACGCATTAAATGCAATGCACATACGCATTCCAATATAAATGCATACACACGTACACACAAATAAATAAATGTTTGGTAGTTTTTTGTCATTTTTGTCACTTTGTGTTTGCAAGATTAAAATGTCCAAAAACAGATCTCTGAGTTAGTTAATAAATAAAAATTAATATAGTTATTTTATAAGCTGAACTTTGATCGAAAATATTCATTGTATAATGTTCAATTGTTCAATTTAAAAAAAGAAAAATATATCAACTCAATAAACGTGCACAAAAAATATACAGACATGAAATCCGATTAAAAAAACATTTTAAATTTTACTGCCTAAAAATTATTTTCAATTTATGTAATCAATATTCACTAAATGAATTTAAGTGCATTGACAAAAAAGGAAATTAAGTTGAAAAATAAATATTTATTGTTTTTCATTACGTGTCCCATTGTGTGTAGGGGTGGGGGAAAGAAGAAAGAGAGTGTGTTCCAAAAAACGTTTTACTTTTAAGTTAGATAACACTAACACTTACAGTAATATGCATAACAGTAACACTCATAATTGTAACGTTCAACACTCAACAGTAACATACTAATACTCATAAAACTATAGTAACACAGTGTAACATAGGCCTTTCAAAATTTACACAGTTTTCCCATTCTGTATCTTTATACAAAATATATTTTTTTAATCATAAAACTAAAAGAAAGGAAAAAATATTTGAAAGAGAAAAGACGAAAATAATTAAAGCAAATTCAAAGCTTTTGTTCGCAGCCAAAGTCAGACAAGTAAAATCAAAACAAAACAGAAAAAAAGAGAAAAGATCTTCTGCAGCTGCCATTTAGAAGAAGCAGGAGGAACTTAAGTCACTAGAACAGCCGGACAGTTGCTATTCCATCAATTAACATCAATCATACTTTTTACTGACGGTAAGCAACAATTGGTCAAACGCTCTTTCCCCCTCTCTCCCTCTTTCTTTCTTTCTTTCTTTCTTTCTCTCACTCTCTTCATATCTTTGAATCATAATATATCAGCCTCTGTCTGTTGTATAAGAAATGATTGCCTGTATGAATTGATTTAAAAGATGCCAATAATCACTGCACATGTCTAATTAAATGTTACTAGGTTCCATTTCAAAAGATTTAGCACAACATGGCCTTTCTATAGTATTCTGTCACAATGGTTTGAATATTCTTCTCCCTATTGTCATCAATTTCAAAATAGTCCTATGTGTAGTATAATATTTTTAATAAATTTAAAATAATTTCATCTAATTCATATCGTTAAAAATTAATTTTCTCTTATTTAAAATTATCCCAAGAAATTCATGCCATACAACAAAGATTAACTTGAAATTGATAAAAAAAAAAATCCCCCACCCCAGAGCAAAGATAGAGGCAGTTGGTTTGATAGAGGTGATGGATGACAAGCATCCACTTTACTCCTAAATAAAATCCTATTTCCCCTATAATTACATGCCCACATAAATAGCATATTAAAACACACCCATACTTTATTTTCTACCCAATAACAGGCAATATTTACACGCCAAATTTACAATATTTTACAGGCCAAAAAAGATTTCATAATACAACACACACCATTTAAATAAAAGTGTCTGTTGATTAGAAATTAATATCACTATGTGAAATATTTAACCAATCAGAGAAAACTAACATCCTATTTTTCTAAAGTCTACTTTCAGGAAAAATTTACTAGAAAAACCCCACAGATTTCAACTTTCAGAGAGCAGAGATGCGACAGTCCTCAGGCTGTTCAGACATAAAAGATGACATGCCTACATAGCTTTTGGAACTTTGCCTAATAGCACATTCTGAAAGAAACATACTGGCAACTTCAAATCAATCATCTCAAATAACAACAAAGGTGGTCAATAAAACTTTGTTAATGATAAAAGTCTTTTCTTAACCACAGATCTTTCTGTGTACTATTTGAAAGTCTTTTCTAAACGACAGTTTTTCTGTGTACCAACTGCACATATTAACTCAATGAAAGACTGTTTTTACTCTTTTTTGACTCTTTTGAATTCATGTGCATATGTTTGCAAATACAAATGATTTATTTAACCAGCATACCAATGTTGTCTTTATTTTTATTATTGTTTGTAATTCGGATTTTTAATATAAAAAACCTGGATGACTGAATTTCCAACAAAGTAATAAATACTGAACACTCTCTAGAAGGATAGATAAAATATAAATATGTGTGAGGAACACTGTTACACACTTTAGCATCCAAAATGTTCCTCGCAGATATTTATATATTATCTATTGCATTACACATGACATGTACTTGACCAATAAGAACTAACCAAAAATCATAACATACCAGTACTCTGTGTCACTTTGCTTTTATCATTTCTATCTCAATCTCTGACAAATCTTTAATAAAAGTGAAAAATGTTAGATTGAGATACATTTCATACTTGTTCTTTATTTTATTTTATCATATATATATATATATATATATATATATAAAAATTAGGAGATCAACCAATCATGCTACCTTGGTTTCAACATTTTGGCATCCACAGGCAATATGGGCCAATATATATATATATACTAGCAGCATGGCCCAGCGTTGCCCGTGCTTGATTCAAAAATCGTACGACTCATACAGCAATCGCTATCACTTGACTTAAAATATTTTTGCCCTTCCTTGCCTTTAAAGGAGTGCCCTTTGCCGTGATGATGTTGCTACATGCCTTACTTCTTGCCTATCTCACACTGCGAATTTTTCCTAAGCTCTATACTAAACATTAAATCTGTTACGAAGAAATAACTAAACAAAATGAACACAAAAAGATCAGCTTTAAAAAAGGACTCATAACTGGAAAAACCGAATGAAAAAAGAATGCTAACAACAAATACTTTTTCACACCCAACCCAGTTCTGCGGAATCAGAATCAACGTTGAGTTTAGGTAAGCGAATAAGCCAATTGGAGTAAAGTGCCAAGCAGATTTAAATTTTTCCCACTTATGACGAATGCAGCTATTGATTTTTTTTTGCATGCTAGCATGCTAGTTAACATTCGTGTCAGTCAGCTGTTGGCTCTCATGCTGGCCAATAGAATCTTCCTGCCTATTCGTGGCAGCCAGCTATAGGCTCTCACTCTGGCCAGTAGAAAATGGCTGCAAACTACATGAAAACTGCCGTAGAAGCATGAAAAAATCGATTATTTCCACTATCGATGAGAGTTGGGAAATGCAAAGTTGGTCTTGGCCTTCCCACTAACTTGGAGCATGTGCATGTAAATTTTGGTGCAAATCCATCGAAAATTGTGGCCGTGCACACACACACACACACACACACACACACATCCTGCCTTTTATATATATATATATATATATATAGATATAATTTATTAAAAAATTATAACATAAATATGTTATAAAATCACTACAAAAATAGTCATTTTGTTTCAACACTTCTGGTGTCTTATCAAGTGATGTTGTAGATAGATAGAGAGAGAGATATTGTTTCAAATCCTACTTAGTATGAAATCTCTAATATAATAACATTTGAAGTAATATGAACAAATAAAAATCCATTAAATCTTTAGAAATATATATATGCATATATTTTGATAGCATGTTTTCATTGAGACATGCTTTGTTGAATAATTTAGACAAGTTTCTTCTACTTATTTTCAATTGGATCCTTTCATATTCACAGATAAGATTTTTGGTGTCGTTATTGAAGGATGAAAGAAAATCGCTGTGTTGATACATATTTCTTTTATAAATCTATCATTCGCCCGTGCATTGAATATTGCTACTAGATTGGCAAGTAGGTCTCGGTCTCATCATTTTACTGTTAAATTAGCTAGATGTAACCATAAATTCTAATTTTAATAGTTTCTTTTCTTGCCATTCTCACCTCTGGGATTCAGTTCTGGTTTCTCGCTATCCTGCCACTTATGAGCTTAAAATATCTAAATGCAATTTCATTTACTATCTTCTGTCT